GCTATGTAACTATGTGGACTTTCGATGGTCATGTAGCTATGTAACTATGTGGACTTATGATGGTCATGTAGGTATGAAACAATGTTGACTTACGATGGTCATGTAGCTATGTAACTATGTGGACTTACGATGGTCATGTAGCTATTTTACTGTTCATTGACTTACCATGGTCATGTAGCTATGTAACTATGTTGACTTATGATGGTCATGTAGCTATGTAACTATGTTGACTTATGATGGTCATGTAGCTATGTAACTATGTTGACTTATGATGGTCATGTAGCTATGTAACTGTTCGTTGACTTAAGATGGTCATGTAGCTATGTAACTGTTTATTGACTTACCATGGTCATGTAGCTATGTAACTATGTGGACTTACGATGGTCATGTAGCTATGAAACTCTTCATTGACTTATGATGGTCATGGAGCTATGTAACTATGTGGACTTAAGATGGTCATGTAGCTATGAAACTCTTCATTGACTTAGCATGGTGAAATAGTAGCTATGTAACTATGTGGAATTACGATTGTTATGTAGCTATGAAACTGTTCATTGACTTATGATGGTCATGTAGCTATGTAACTGTTCATTGACCTACCATGGTCATGTAGCTATGTAACTATGTTGACTTATGATGGTCATGTAGCTATGTAACTATGTGGACTTACGATGGTCATGTAGCTATGAAACTGTTCATTGACTTACAATGGTCATATAGCTATGAAACTGTTCATTGACTTATGATGGTCATGTAGCTATGTAACTATGTGGACTTACGATTGTCATATAGCTATGAAACTGTTCATTGACTTATGATGGTCATATAGCTATGAAACTGTTCATTGACTTATGATGGTCATATAGCTATGAAACTGTTCATTGACTTATGATGGTCATGTAGCTATGTAACTATGTGGACTTATGATGGTCATGTAGCTATGTAACTATGTGGACTGATGATGGTCATGTAGCTATGAACTATGTTGACTTATGATGGTCATGTAGCTATAAAACTGTTCATTGACTTATGATGGTCATGTAGGTATGAAACTATGTTGACTTACGATGGTCATGTAGCTATGAAACTGTTCATTGACTTATGATGGTCATGTAGCTATGAAACCATGTTGACTTACGATGGTCATGTAGCTATGAAACTGTTCATTGACTTATGATGGTCATGTAGCTATGTACCTGTTCATTGACTTATGATGGTCATATAGCTATGAAACTGTTCACTGACTTATGATGGTCAAGTAGCTATGTAACTATGTGGACTTATGATGGTCATGTAGCTATGAAACTGTTCATTGACTTACGTTGGTCATATAGCTATGAAACTGTTCATTGACTTATGATGGTCATGTAGCTATGTAACTATGTGGACTTATGATGGTCATGTGGCTATGAAACTGTTCATTGACTTATGATGGTCATGTAGCTATGTTACTGTTCATTGACTTACCATGGTCATGTAGCTATGTAACTATGTGGACTTACGATGGTCATGTAGCTATGAAACTCTTCATTGACTTATGATGTTCATGTAGCTATGTAACTATGTGGACTTATGATGGTCATGTAGCTATGTAACTATGTGGACTTATGATGGTCATGTAGCTATGTAACTGTTCGTTGACTTAAGATGGTCATGTAGCTATGTAACTGTTTATTGACTTAAGATGGTCATGTAGCTATGTAACTATGTGGACTTATGATGGTCATGTGGCTATGAAACTGTTCATTGACTTATGATGGTCATGTAGCTATGTAACTGTTCATTGACTTACCATGGCCATGTAGCTATGTAACTATGTGGACTTTCGATGGTCATGTAGCTATGTAACTATGTGGACTTATGATGGTCATGTAGGTATGAAACTATGTTGACTTACGATGGTCATGTAGCTATGAAACCATGTGGACTTACGATGGTCATGTAGCTATGAAACTGTTCATTGACTTATGATGGTCATGTAGCTATGTACCTGTTCATTGACTTATGATGGTCATATAGCTATGAAACTGTTCACTGACTTATGATGGTCAAGTAGCTATGAAACTATGTGGAATTACGATGGTTATGTAGCTATGAAACTGTTCATTGACTTATGATGGTCATGTAGCTATGTAACTGTTCATTGACTTATGATGGTCAAATAGCTATGAAACTGTTCATTGACTTATGATGGTCATGTAGCTATGTAACTATGTGGACTTATGATGGTCATGTAGCTATGAAACTGTTCATTGACTTACGATGGTCATATAGCTATGAAACTGTTCATTGACTTATGATGGTCATGTAGCTATGTAACTATGTGGACTTATGATGGTCATGTGGCTATGAAACTGTTCATTGACTTATGATGGTCATGTAGCTATGTAACTGTTCATTGACTTACCATGGTCATGTAGCTATGTAACTATGTGGACTTACGATGGTCATGTAGCTATGAAACTCTTCATTGACTTATGATGGTCATGTAGCTATGTAACTATGTGGACTTATGATGGTCATGTAGCTATGTAACTATGTTGACTTATGATGGTCATGTAGCTATGTAACTGTTCGTTGACTTAAGATGGTCATGTAGCTATGTAACTGTTTATTGACTTACCGTGGTCATGTAGCTATGTAACTATGTGGACTTACGATGGTCATGTAGCTATGAAACTCTTCATTGACTTATGATGGTCATGTAGCTATGTAACTATTTGGACTTAAGATGGTCATGTAGCTATGAAACTCTTCATTGACTTACCATGGTGAAATAGTAGCTATGTAACTATGTGGAATTACGATTGTTATGTAGCTATGAAACTCTTCATTGACTTATGATGGTCATGTAGCTATGTAACTGTTCATTGACCTACCATGGTCATGTAGCTATGTAACTATGTTGACTTATGATGGTCATGTAGCTATGTAACTATGTGGACTTACGATGGTCATGTAGCTCTGAAACTGTTCATTGACTTACGATGGTCATATAGCTATGAAACTGTTCATTGACTTATGATGGTCATGTAGCTATGTAACTATGTGGACTTACGATGGTCATATAGCTATGAAACTGTTCATTGACTTATGATGGTCATATAGCTATGAAACTGTTCATTGACTTATGATGGTCATATAGCTATGAAACTGTTCATTGACTTATGATGGTCATGTAGCTATGTCACTATGTGGACTTATGATGGTCATGTAGCTATGTAACTATGTGGACTTATGGTGGTCATGTAGCTATGAACTATGTTGACTTATGATGGTCATGTAGCTATAAAACTGTTCATTGACTAATGATGGTCATATAGCTATGAAACTGTTCATTGACTTATGATGGTCATGTAGCTATGAAACTGTTCATTGACTTATGATGGTCATGTAGCTATGTAACTATGTGGACTTACGATGGTCATGTAGCTATAAAACTGTTCATTGACTTATGATGGTCATATAGCTATGAAACTGTTCATTGACTTATGATGGTCATATAGCTATGAAACTGTTCATTGACTTATGATGGTCATGTAGCTATGTAACTATGTGGACTTACGATGGTCATGTAGCTATAAAACTGTTCATTGACTTATGATGGTCATATAGCTATGAAACTGTTCATTGACTTATGACGGTCATGTAGCTATGAAACTGTTCATTGACTTATGATGGTCTTGTGGCTATGAAACTATGTTGACTTATGATGGTCATGTGGCTATGAAACTGTTCATTGACTTACGATGGTCATGTAGCTATGTAACTATGTGGACTTATGATGGTCATGTAGCTATGTAACTATGTGGACTTAAGATGGTCATGTAGCTAAAAAACTGTTCATTGACTTATGATGGTCATATAGCTATGAAACTGTTCATTGACTTATGATGGTCATGTAGCTATGAAACTTTTCATCGACTTATGATGGTCATGTAGCTATGAAACTGTTCATTGACTTATGATGGTCTTGTGGCTATGAAACTATGTTGACTTATGATGGTCATGTGGCTATGAAACTGTTCATTGACTTATGATGGTCATATAGCTATGAAACTGTTCATTGACTTATGATGGTCATGTAGCTATGAAACTGTTCATTGACTTACGATGGTCATGTAGCTATGAAACTGTTCATTGACTTATGATGGTCTTGTGGCTATGAAACTATGTTGACTTATGATGGTCATGTGGCTATGAAACTGTTCATTGACTTACGATGGTCATGTAGCTATGAAACTATGTGGACTTATGATGGTCATGTAGCTATGTAACAGTGTGGACTTATGATGGTCATGTAGCTATGTAACTATGTTGACTTATGATGGTCATGTAGCTATGTAACTATGTGGACTTATGATGGTCATGTAGCTATGTAACTATGTTGACTTACGATGGTCATGTAGCTATGTAACTATGTGGACTTATGATGGTCATGTAGCTATGTAACTATGTGGACTTATGATGGTCATGTAGCTATGTAACTATGTGGACTTATGATGGTCATGTAGCTATGTAACTATGTGGACTTATGATGGTCATGTAGCTATGTAACTATGTGGACTTATGATGGTCATGTAGCTATGTTACTATGTGGACTTATGATGGTCATGGAGCTATGTAACTATGTGGACTTATGATGGTCATGTAGCTATGTAACTATGTGGACTTATGATGGTCATGGAGCTATGTAACTATGTGGACTTATGATGGTCATGTAGCTATGTAACTATGTGGACTTACGATGGTCATGGAGCTATGTAACTATGTGGACTTATGATGGTCATGTAGCTATGTAACTATGTGGACTTATGATGGTCATGTAGCTATGTAACTATGTGGACTTATGATGGTCATGGAGCTATGTAACTATGTGGACTTATGATGGTCATGTAGCTATGTAACTATGTGGACTTACGATGGTCATGGAGCTATGAAACTGTTTATTGAGTGTTACTCTTGTCTCCCTCTTCTCATGGTAGTGCTTCATGTTTCAGGTACTCTGCATCCTGGGCCAATGAACATTTCATTCACATCAAAGCCATGAGGAAGGTTTGTGCACATCTAGAAACATCCACACACTTAAACCCTCCAAATGGGCAGAGAAGATTGCCAGGCTTCGGCTTGACCCTCAGTGACTTCTGTCGCATAATGGAGTATTGCTTCTTATTAAATACTTCCCTCAGCAATAATCCAGTTATTACACTACACAGCAACATGCCAGTACTTACACTATATAGCATCATGCCAGTACTTACACTACACTACAGTGTAAGTACTGGCATGTTGCTATGTAGTGTAAGTACTGGCATGTTGCTATGTAGTGTAAGTACTGGCATGTTGCTGTGTAGTGTAAGTACTGCCATGTTTCTGTGTAGTGTAAGTACTGGCATGTTACTATGTGATGTAAGTACTGGCATGTTGCTATGTAGTGTAAGTACTGGCATGTTGCTGTGTAGTGTAAGTACTGCCATGTTGCTATGTAGTGTAGGTACTGGCATGTTGCTATGTAGTGTAAGTACTGGCATGTTGCTGTGTAGTGTAAGTACTGGCATGTTGCTGTGTAGTGTAAGTACTGGCATGTTGCTGTGTAGTGTAAGTACTGGCATGTTGCTATGTAGTGTAAGTACTGGCATGTTGCTATGTAGTGTAAGTACTGGCATGTTGCTATGTAGTGTAAGTACTGGCATGTTGCTGTGTAGTGTAAGTACTGGCATGTTGCTATGTAGTGTAAGTACTGCCATGTTGCTGTGTAGTGTAAGTCCTGGCATGTTGCTATGTAGTGTAAGTACTGGCTTGTTGCTATGTAGTGTAAGTACTGGCATGTTGCTGTGTAGTGTAAGTACTGCCATGTTGCTGTGTAGTGTAAGTACGGGCATGTTGCTATGTAGTGTAAGTACTGGCATGTTGCTATGTAGTGTAAGTACTGGCATGTTGCTATGTAGTGTAAGTACTGGCATGTTGCTGTGTAGTGTAAGTACGGGCATGTTGCTATGTAGTGTAACTACTGGCATGTTGCTGTGTAGTGTAAGTACGGGCATGTTGCTATGTAGTGTAAGTACTGGCATGTTGCTATGTAGTGTAAGTACGGGCATGTTGCTGTGTAGTGTAAGTACTGCCATGTTGCTGTGTAGTGTAAGTACTGGCATGTTGCTATGTAGTGTAAGTACTGGCATGTTGCTGTGTAGTGTAAGTACTGGCATGTTGCTATGTAGTGTACGTACTGGCATGTTGCTATGTAGTGTAAGTACTGGCATGTTGCTATGTAGTGTAAGTACTGCCATGTTGCTGTGTAGTGTAAGTACTGGCATGTTGCTATGTAGTGTAGGTACTGGCATGTTACTATGTGATGTAAGTACTGGCATGTTGCTATGTAGTGTAAGTATTGGCATGTTGCTATGTAGCGTAAGTACTGGCATGTTGCTATGTAGTGTAAGTACTTGCATGTTGCTATGTAGTGTAAGTACTGGCATGTTACTATGTAGTGTAAGTACTGGCATGTTGCTATGTAGTGTAAGTACTGGCATGTTGCTGTGTAGTGTAAGTACTGCCATGTTGCTGTGTAGTGTAAGTACTGGCATGTTGCTATGTAATGTAAGTACTGGCATGTTACTATGTAGTGTAAGTACTGGCATGCTGCTATATAGTGTAAGTACTGGCATGTTGCTGTGGACTAAGTACTGGCATGTTGCTATGTAGTGTAAGTACTGGCATGTTGCTGTGTAGTGTAAGTACTGGCATGTTGCTATGTAGTGTAAGTACTGGCATGTTACTATGTTGTGTAAGTACTGGCATGTTGCTATGTAGTGTAAGTACTGGCATGTTGCTGTGTAGTGTAAGTACTGGCATGTTGCTATGTAGTGTAAGTACTGGCATGTTGCAATGTAGTGTAAGTACTGGCATGTTGCTGTGTACTAAGTACTGGTATTAAGTACTGGTGTGTTGTCAGGTGGGGAGTACTAAGTACTGGTGTGTTGTCAGGTGGGGAGTACTAAGTACTGGTGTGTTGTCAGGTGGGGAGTACTAAGTACTGGGGTGTTGTCTGGTGGGGAGTACTAAGTACTGGTGTGTTGTCAGGTGGGGAGTACTAAGTACTGGTGTGTTGTCTGGTGGGGAGTACTAAGTACTTGTGTGTTGTCAGGTGGGGAGTACTAAGTACTGGTGTGTTGTCAGGTGCGCGAGGTCCGGCAGCAGCTGAAGGAGATCATGGACCAGCAGAAGATGGAGATGATATCTTGTGGCAACGAGTGGGACATCATCAGAAAGTGCATCTGTTCCGCATACTTCCACCAGGCTGCCAGGCTCAAGGTAGGAGAACTCAGCACCACAACTTGACAAACACCTTGGTGTGCAGCATCTCTACACATGGGGCTGTTGAATAATCCCAGCAATGTAACAGTTCTCAATATCTTGTTACATAATATAGCCAGCAACGCCACATAGTGATTACACGGCACACATCTGAACACTTGCTATCTACCGTGGGACATCAATTTGGTTTTTGATGGTGTAGATGGATCTGTTTTAGTTGCATACTTCACGCACAAGCCCTGAGAGAGCAGAATGAAGTGTCTAGAGGAATCTGCCATGGAACCACCCAAGCCACTTCATCTTGCCGCATTAGCTCAGATATGATTTGTGACGTCAGCAAGGCCCATGCCTTCCTCATTCCTTTACCATGATCCATGTTTCCTAATTTCTTTGTCAAAGAATCTCCAACAAATTATTCATTACTTTGTCATTCATGCACACTCAACACATCAAGAGGTCACCTGTAGCCTTCGTAAGTGTCTGTAGAGTGAAGTCATGTGACACCATGGTTACCTGTAGCCTTCGTAAGTGTCTGTAGAGTAAAGTCATGTGACACCATGGTTACCTGTAGCCTTCGTAAGTGTCTGTAGAGTGAAGTCATGTGCCACCATGGTTACCTGTAGCCTTCGTAAGTGTCTGTAGAGTGAAGTCATGTGAAACCATGGTTACCTGTAGCCTTCGTAAGTGTCTGTTGAGTGAAGTCATGTGACACCATGGCTACCCGTAACCTTTGTGTCTGTAGAGTGAAGTCATGTGACACCATGGTTACCCGTAACCATCGTAAGTGTCTGTAGAGTGAAGTCATGTGACACCATGGTTACCCGTAACCTTCGTAAGAGTCTGTAGAATGAAGTCATGTGAAACCATGGTTACCTGTAGCCTTCGTAAGTGTCTGTAGAGTGAAGTCATGTGAAACCATGGTTACCTGTAGCCTTCGTAAGTGTCTGTTGAGTGAAGTCATGTGACACCATGGCTACCCGTAACCTTTGTGTCTGTAGAGTGAAGTCATGTGACACCATGGTTACCCGTAACCATCGTAAGTGTCTGTAGAGTGAAGTCATGTGACACCATGGTTACCCGTAACCTTCGTAAGAGTCTGTAGAATGAAGTCATGTGAAACCATGGTTACCTGTAGCCTTGGTAAGAGTCTGTAGAGTGAAGTCATGTGAAACCATGGTTACCTGTAGCCTTCGTAAGTGTCTGTTGAGTGAAGTCATGTGACACCATGGCTACCCGTAACCTTTGTGTCTGTAGAGTGAAGTCATGTGACACCATGGTTACCCGTAACCTTTGTGTCTGTAGAGTGAAGTCATGTGACACCATGGTTACCCGAAACCTTTGTGTCTGTAGAGTGAAGTCATGTGACACCATGGTTACCCGTAACCTTTGTGTCTGTAGAGTGAAGTCATGTGACACCATGGTTACCCGTAACCATCGTTAGTGTCTGTTGAGTGAAGTCATGTGACACCATGGTTACCCGTAACCTTTGTGTCTGTAGAGTGAAGTCATGTGACATCATGGTTACCCGTAACCATCGTTAGTGTCTGTAGAGTGAAGTCATGTGACATCATGGTTACCCGTAACCTTTGTGTCTGTAGAGTGAAGTCATGCGACACCATGGTTACCCGTAACTATCGTAAGTGCCTGTAAAGTGAAGTCATGTGACACAGTGGCTACCCGTAACCATCGTTAGTGTCTGTAGAGTGAAGTCATGTGACACCATCGTTACCCGTAACCTTTGTGTCTGTAGAGTGAAGTCATCTGACACCATGGTTACCCGTAACCTTTGTGTCTGTAGAGTGAAGTCATGTGACAACATGGTTACCCGTAACCTTTGTGTCTGTAGAGTGAAGTCATGTGACACCATGGTTACCGGTAACCTTTGTGTCTGTAGAGTGAAGTCATGTGACATCATGGTTACCCGTAACCATCGTTAGTGTCTGTAGAGTGAAGTCATGTGACATCATGGTTACCCGTAACCTTTGTGTCTGTAGAGTGAAGTCATGCGACACCATGGTTACCCGTAACTATCGTAAGTGCCTGTAAAGTGAAGTCATGTGACACAGTGGCTACCCATAACCATCGTTAGTGTCTGTAGAGTGAAGTCATGTGACACCATCGTTACCCGTAACCTTTGTGTCTGTAGAGTGAAGTCATCTGACACCATGGTTACCCGTAACCTTTGTGTCTGTAGAGTGAAGTCATGTGACAACATGGTTACCCGTAACCTTTGTGTCTGTAGAGTGAAGTCATGTGACACCATGGTTACCCGTAACCTTTGTGTCTGTAGAGTGAAGTCATGTGACACCATGGTTACCCGTAACTATCGTAAGTGTCTGTAGAGTGAAGTCATGTGACACCATGGCTACCCGTAACCATCGTTAGTGTCTGTAGAGTGAAGTCATGTGACACCATGGCTACCCGTAACCATCGTTAGTGTCTGTAGAGTGAATTCATGTGACACCATGGTTACCCGTAACCTTTGTGTCTGTAGAGTGAAATCATGTGACACCATGGTTACCCGTAACTTTTGTGTCGGTAGAGTGAAGTCATGTGACACCATGGTTACCCATAACTATTGTAAGTGCCTGTAGAGTGAAGTTATGTGACACCATGGCTACCCGTAACCATCGTTAGTGTCTGTAGAGTCAAGTCATGTGACACCATGGTTACCCGTAACCTTTGTGTCTGTAGAGTGAAGTCATGTGACACAATGGCTACCCGTAACCATCGTTAGTGTCTGTAGAGTGAAGTCATGTGACACCATGGCTACCCGTAACCATCGTTAGTGTCTGTAGAGTGAAGTCATGTGACACCATGGTTACCCGTAACCTTTGTGTCTGTAGAGTGAAGTCATGCGACACCATGGTTACCTGTAGCCTTCGTAAGTGTCTGTAGAGTGAAGTCATGTGACACCATGGTTACCCATAACTATCGTAAGTGCCTGTAGAGTGAAGTCATGTGACACCATGGCTACCCGTAACCATCGTTAGTGTCTGTAGAGTGAAGTCATGTGACACCATGGTTACCCGTAACCTTTGTGTCTGTAGAGTGAAGTCATGTGACACCATGGCTACCCGTAGCCATCGTTAGTGTCTGTAGAGTCAAGTCATGTGACACCATGGCTACCCGTAACCATCGTTAGTGTCTGTAGAGTGAAGTCATGTGACACCATGGTTACCCGTAACCATCGTTAGTGTCTGTAGAGTCAAGTCATGTGACACCATGGTTACCTGTAGCCTTCGTAAGTGTCTGTAGAGTGAAGTCATGTGACACCATGGTTACCTGTAACTATCGTAAGTGCCTGTAGAGTGAAGTCATGTGACACCATGGCTACCCGTAACCATCGTTAGTGTCTGTAGAGTCAAGTCATGTGACACCATGGTTACCCGTAACCTTTGTGTCTGTAGAGTGAAGTCATGTGACACCATGGCTACCCATAACCATCGTTAGTGTCTGTAGAGTCAAGTCATGCGACACCATGGCTACCCGTAACCATCGTAAGTGTCTGTTGAGTGAAGTCATGCGACACCATGGCTACCCGTAACCATCGATAGTGTCTGTAGAGTGAAGTCATGCGACACCATGGTTACCCGTAACCATCGTAAGTGCCTATTGAGTGAAGTCATGCGACACCATGGCTACCTGTAACCATCGTAAGTGTCTAGAGTGAAGTCATGCAACACCATGGCTACCCGTAACTATCGTAAGTGTCTGTTGAGTGAAGTCATGTGACACCATGGCTACCCGTAACCATCGTAAGTGCCTATTGAGTGAAGTAAGTGTCTGTCACCATTTTGTCCCTTTCTGGTCATTTCCAAATATGTTTCAGCATGACTAGGTCAGTTTGCAACAGTTCAACAGTGGGAACATAGATCAGTCAGCTTGTTGGGATAAATATCTGAAGGTTGCATTCTCACAAAAACTTGTTTCTCGTGACGGCAGAGTTTGTCCTCACAAGAGCTTGTATTGAATTCGAAAGGTGCTCCCAATGTAGATAACTCGTAGAAACTCCCTCACTTGAGTCAGTCAGAAGTCTGCATGATGACATGACTTGTTTGAGGCAGTGGTTGTTTTAGATGTTGATGACACCAGCATGTTCTGTTGTAGGGTCTGGGGGAGTATGTCAATTGCCGTACAGGCATGCCCTGCCACCTGCACCCCACCAGCGCCCTGTTCGGCATGGGCTACACACCTGACTACATCGTCTACCACGAACTGGTCATGACGTCAAAGGTAACACTTTCTTATTCAAGTCAGTCCTTTTCAGCTTCTTCTCTGGATAGGCCGCCATCATATATTATGACAACTGAATGTTGTTGAGCAGTTAGTTTGTCATATCTTTTACTTGAGATGTCATTCTGCAAATGTCTGCAAATTAGGCTTTTCTCCATTCCTGGAGAAACTCTAGACAGAAGCAACCTTGGGAAGGTAGCATGGTTTTCTTGTTGTACATATTTTTATCCAGAAATCAGTGACTGAACAAGTAAGAAAGAAAGTGCCTGTTCATTCTATGATTTATCATATTTTTTAAGTCCCCCCTTGTGAAAGAATGCATGTGTGGCCACGCCTTTTGTAGGATTAAACTATCGCTTCACAGTGTCCCTGGTCTGTTGTGCATAACTGCACATTTCACTTGTGAATGCAGAATCACTTTGGAAAACCCTCCTGATTGGAGTTTACTTGTAGTCCTTGTAAGTGTGTTCCTGTTGTCAAAGGGGTGAAGATCGCCTGAATATAAGGTTCATGTTATTTAATGTTGTGTAAGATAAGGCTAATGACACCCTTTGTTGTGTGAGATAAGGCTAATGACACCCTGTGTTGTGTAAGATAAGGCTCACGACACCTGTTGTGTGAGATAAGGCTAATGACACCCTGTGTTGTGTAAGATAAGGCTCACGACACCTGTTGTGTGAGATAAGGCTAATGACACCCTGTGTTGTGTAAGATAAGGCTAACGACACCTGTTGTGTGAGATAAGGCTAATGACACCCTTTGTTGTGTAAGATAAGACTAATGACACCTGTTGTGTGAGATAAGGCTAATGACACCCTGTGTTGTGTAAGATAAGGCTAACGACACCTGTTGTGTGAGATAAGGCTAACGACACCTGTTGTGTAAGATAAGGCTAACGACACCTGTTGTGTGAGATAAGGCTAATGACACCCTTTGTTGTGTGAGATAAGGCTAATGACACCCTGTGTTGTGTAAGATAAGACTAATGACACCTGTTGTGTGAGATAAGGCTAATGACACCCGCTGTTGTGTAAGATAAGACTAATGACACCCTGTGTTGTGTGAGATAAGACTAATGACACCCCTTGTTGTGTAAGATAAGGCTAATGACATCCTGTGTTGTGTAAGGTAAGGCTAATGACACACTTTGTTGTGTAAGATAGGCTAATGACACCCTGTGTTGTGTAAGATAAGGCTAATGACACCCTGTGTTGTGTAAGATAAGGCTAATGACTCCCTGTGTTGTGTAAGATAAGGCTAATGACACACTTTGTTGTGTAAGATAAGGCTAATGACACATGTTGTGTAAGACAAGGCTAACGACACCTCTTGTGTGAGATAAGGCTAATGACACCCTGTGTTGTGTAAGATAATACTAATGACACCTGTTGTGTAAGATAAGGCTAATGACACCTGTTGTGTAAGATAAGGCTAATGACACCTGTTGTGTAAGATAAGGCTAACAAAACCTGTTGTGTAAGAAAAGACTAATGACACCCTGTGTTTTGTGAGATAAGGCTAATGACACCCTTTGTTGTGTAAGATAAGGCTAATGACACCTGTTGTGTAAGATAAGGCTAATGACACCCTGTGTTGTGTAAGATAAGGCTAACGACGACTCTTGTTGAGATAAGGCTAATGACACCCTGTGTTGTGTAAGATAATACTAATGACACCTGTTGTGTAAGATAAGGCTAATGACACCTGTTGTGTAAGATAAGGCTAATGACACCTGATGTGTGAGATAAGGCTAATGACACCCTGTGTTGTGTAAGATAATGCTAATGACACCTGTTGTGTAAGATAAGGCTAACGACACCTGATGTGTGAGATAAGGCTAATGACACCCTGTGTTGTGTAAGATAAGGCTAATGACACCCTGTGTTGTGTGAGATAAGGCTAATGACACCCTGTGTTGTGTAAGATAAGGCTAACGACACCCTTTGTTGTGTAAGATAAGGCTAATGACACCCTGTGTTGTGTAAGATAAGACTAATGACACCTGTTGTGTAAGATAAGGCTAATGACACCTGTTGTGTAAGATAAGGCCAACGACACCTCTTGTGTGAGATAAGGCTAATAACACCCTGTGTGGTGTAAGATAAGGCTAAAGACACCTGTTGTGTGAGATAAGGCTAATGACACCCGCTGTTGTGTGAGATAAGGCTAACGACACCCTTTGTTGTGTGAGATAAGGCTCACGACACGTGTTGTGTGAGATAAGGCTAATGACACCCGCTGTTGTGTGATATAAGGCTAATAACACCCTGTGTTGTGTAAGATAAGGCTAATGACACCTGTTGTGTGAGATAAGGCTAACGACACCCGCTGTTGTGTGAGATAAGGCTCACGACACGTGTTGTGTGAGATAAGGCTAATGACACCCGCTGTTGTGTAAGATAAGGCTAATGACACCTTTTGTTGTGTAGGATAAGGCTCACGACACCTGTTGTGCGAGATAAGGCTAATGACACCCGCTGTTGTGTAAGATAAGGCTAATGACACCTTTTGTTGTGTAGGATAAGGCTCACGACACCTGTTGTGTGAGATATGGCTAATGACACCCGCTGTTGTGTAAGATAAGGCTAATGACACTTGTTGTGTAAGATAAGGCTAACGACACCCTCTGTTGTGTAAGATAGGCTTGTTGTGTAGGATAAGGCTCCTGACACCTGTTGTGTGAGATAAGGCTAATGACACCCGCTGTTGTTTGTAGGAGTACATGCAGTGTGTGACGTCCGTGGATGGAGAGTGGCTGGCAGAGCTTGGACCAATGTTCTACAGCATCAAGGACGCCTCCAAAACAAGACAGGTGAGTCTCCCAGTATTCTGTAATGTTTCAGGATTAATACTTTTTCCACTCACAGATCATATATATTTATATTTGTGTTCAGATAATAGCTCATTGGTACCATTACAAGCATGTCATACTATGCTACAATAGAAGTCTTCAGTTGCTATCCTGTGTGTGTGAGTGAGTGACTTGGGTGCTAACACAATTGGAACTAACTGGGATTAGTGTTGCAAAGGTGTACGGTGAAGTGTGATGCTTTAGACAACTTGGCAACCAGTGCTTCACTGATCATATTAACATGCTAAGGCTTCACTTTTAGGGCCTTGGGCTCGGACTTAGAACAAAACACACACTACAGTCTAAAACTAACTACAGTCAACACACACTACAGTCTAAAACTAACTACAGTCAACACACACTACAGTCAACACACACTACAGTCTAAAACTAACTACAGTCAACACACTACAGTCAACACACACTACAGTCTAAAACTAACTACAGTCAACACACACTACAGTCAACACACACTACAGTCTAAAACTAACTACAGTCAACACACACTACAGTCAACACACACTACAGTCTAAAACTAACTACAGTCTACACACTACAGTCAACACACACTACAGTCAACACACACTACAGTCTAAAACTAACTACAGTCTTCACACTACAGTCAACACACACTACAGTCTAAAACTAACTACAGTCAACACACTACAGTCTAAAACTAACTACAGTCTACACACACAACAGTCTACACACACTACAGTCAACACACACTACAGTCTAAAACTAACTACAGTCAACACACACTACAGTCTACACACACTACAGTCTACACACACAACAGTCAACACACACTACAGTCTACACACACAACAGTCAACACACACTACAGTCAACACACACAACAGTCTACACACACTACAGTCTACACACACTACAGTCAACACACAGTTTTCATTGCCTGCTGCACGTTGTGGGTACCAACTATTCATGACCTTCACCTTGTTCCAGGAGAGAAAGAAACTGGCTGAGGAGGAATTGGTTGCAATGGAGGAGGAGATGAAACGAGCGGAGGAACTGATCAAGGCCAGAAAGGAGCAGCAGGACCAGTCGGCAGCTTCAGTGAGGAAGTGAGTATTGCTGTCTCTCCTACACACCTGTATCAGTCTGAACCGTCTCTCCTACACACCTGTATCAGTCTGAACCGTCCCTCCTACACACCTGTATCAGTCTGAACCGTCTCCTACACACCTGTATCAGGCTCAACCGTCTCTCCTACACACCTGTATCAGTCTGAACCGTCCCTCCTTCATACCTGTATCAGTCTGAACCGTCCCTCCTTCATACCTGTATCAGTCTGAACCATCCCTCCTACACACCTGTATCAGTCTGAACCGTCCCTCCTTCACACCTGTATCAGTGTGAATGTCCAGCTTCAGTGAGGAAGTGAGTATTGCCGTCCCTCCTACACACCTGTATCAGTCTGAATCATCAATCCTACACACCTGTATGAATCTGAACCGTCCCTCCTACACACCTGTATCAGTCTGAACCGTCCCTCCTACACACCTGTATCAGTCTGAACCGTCCCTCCTACACACCTGTATCAGTCTGAACCGTCCCTCCTACACACCTGTATCAGTGTGAACCATCTCTCCTACTCACCTGTATCAGTCTGAACCGTCTCCTACACACCTGTATCAGGCTCAACCGTCTCTCCTACACACCTGTATCAGTCTGAACCATCTCTCCTACACACCTGTATCAGTCTGAACCGTCCCTCCTTCACACCTGTATCAGTGTGAATGTCCAGCTTCAGTGAGGAAGTGAGTATTGCCGTCCCTCCTACACACCTGTATCAGTCTGAATTATCAATCCTACACACCTGTATGAATCTGAACCGTCCCTCCTACACACCTGTATCAGTCTGAACCGTCCCTCCTACTCCTACACACCTGTATCAGTCTGAACCGTCCCTCCTACTCCTACACACCTGTATCAGTCTGAACCGTCCCTCCTACACACCTGTATCAGTCTGAACCGTCCCTCCTACACACCTGTATCAGTCTGAACCGTCCCTCCTACACACCTGTATCAGTCTGAACCGTCTCTCCTATTCACCCGTAATAGTCTGAACCGTCCCTCCTACACACCTGTATCAGTCTGAACTGTCCCTCCTATTCACCTGTACCAGTCTGAACCGTCTCTCCTACACACCTGTATCAGTCTGAACCGTCTCTTCTTCACACCTGTATCAGTCTGAACCGTCCCTCCTACACACCTGTATCAGTCTGAACCATCCCTCCTACACACCTGTACCAGTCTGAACTGTCCCTCCTATTCACCTGTATCAGTCTGAACCATCTCTCCTACACACCTGTATCAGTCTGAACCGTCCCTCCTACACACCTGTATCAGTCTGAACTGTCCCTCCTATTCACCTGTATCAGTCTGAACCGTCTCTCCTACACACCTGTATCAGTCTGAACCGTCTCTCCTACACACCTGTATCAGTCTGAACCGTCCCTCCTACACACCTGTATCAGTCTGAATCGTCAATCCTACACACCTGTATCAGTCTGAATGTCCAGCTTCAGTGAGGAAGTGAGTATTGCTGTCCCTCCTACACACCTGTATCAGTCTGAATCGTCAATCCTACACACCTGTATGAATCTGAACCGTCCCTCCTACACACCTGTATCAGTCTGAACCGTCTCTCCTACACACCTGTATCAGTCTGAACTGTCCCTCCTACACACCTGTTATGATGTTACAAAATGGCTCTATGTTTCACAAACTCATGATATATTTTTCTCCTAGGCCATCAATCGCGACACCAGGACGGAAAGATGAAAGTTCGCCCTACACCGCTACACCTCGGAGAACCCCGGCCAAGTTTGGCCTGTGAGTGAAGAAGCTCATGTACAGCAGAGTATTGGTCTGTGAAGAAGGGACAACAACTCTTCCTGATTTTCTTGAAATCATGTATTGAATGATTTCTTTGTCGCAGGTCATAGTCAACGGGAGACAACTCCAATATTCCCAAATGATTTTGGTGTAGAATGTGCATGGAGACACCCAACACAATATACTCCCCGATCAAGTTTGTTGAGGTGATTGAAAACACAGACAAACACTTTCCTGCATTTACCTAAATGCAAAAACTTTAATACATACCATCATGATGGGGACATTGTGTGACACAGAACACATCTCACACAGACATGGACAAATAGTAGGTGATGATGACTGATGAACATTTGTACAAAATGATGATGATGATGATGATGACGATGCTGCTGATTATGTCGTCATGTATCACATGAACAGCTGGAATGAAGCAGTGTACAGGTCATTAAAGGAAATCAAATATGTGCGTTGCGTTGTTATGTACCCACCACTGGGCCTGGTTAACTTAACAATGACCCTCAGAAAACAAGAGAAACACAACAAATAGATATATATATATATATATATATATGCACATTCATGCAGAGTAAGTGAATTGGGTTTAGCGCATTCAACGCTTTTAATGTGGGAGGAAAGCCCGAAGTGATGCAGGTCTCAGACTTTTACCACTTCGGTGAAACCCACAAGCACGGGTATGGTGCAGACAAACCTAGAAACAATCGGGGCAAACAGGGATTCGAACCCATAGTCTTAATTCTAATATAAGATCAATACATTATGCAGTTGCCCCATCCCTCAACAGATCACACAATTACTGACCAGAACTTGCATGTACAATGTGTTCAAGGCTGTTTCATGTTAAATGTCTCAATTACAGGTCTTGTCAAGCTTGAATTACATCTTACAGTCACAGCCAGTAAATAGAATGGTTACTTGACTCCTTTTCTGCCCCAATGATGTGGATAGATGTGGATGTCTTGGTGGGCACATCCATACAAGCATGGTACAAACTCAGCTTGTTGCCTGACCAGCGAGTGGAGGGAAGATATGGAACACGTACAGTGCACATCATGATATGTCGTATATCACAATATTGAATAAACATGAGGAGCAATAGAATCACAAAGTACACATCCAAATGAATTAGAAATACACAAGTCAATATGACCCAGTGTTTATCACATGTGAAATGCATTGTAAGGCAAAGAGAAACCCTTGATATGATGTTCCATACTGAAGCAGCCATTGCTCCCTCTACCAGTCTACCCCCGGGGAACTCCTCCAGGATCCCCGCTCTATGTAGTCCCACAACACAACAGGACATTTCCATCAGTCAGTTTCACTGAAAATACTATTCTCGTGGTCCAATGACAAACTGGTCCCAAGTTTCCGAGGTCAGTTGGTCATTAGTTTGGTTTGTTCCACATCCTCCTCTTCCTCGGACTCGGAGTCGGATGGTGCTGCCCGGACATCCTGGTACCACTGATTGGTCAGCGTCTTCATCCGGTTCTGTCCTTCCCGGACCTCCTGCAAGTAGATACACATACACACTGTATCAGTGGGTCAGACATACACACTGTATCAGTGGATCAGTGGATCAGACATACACACTGTATCAGTGGATCAGACATACACACTGTATCAGTGGATCAGACATACACACTGTATCAGTGGATCAGACATACACACTGTATCAGTGGATCAGACATACACATTGTATCAGTGGATCAGACATACACACTGTATCAGTGGATCAGACATGGACATTGTATCAAACATGGAGGAAACATACACACTGTATCAGTGGATCAAACAGTGACATGGAGGTCAAATATCTAGCCATACAGTCACATAGTCAGCTATCTAGCCATACAGTCACAGAGACATGGAGGTCAACTATCTAGCCAAACAGTCACATGGTGGTCAATTACCCAGCCATAGTCACATGGTCAGCTATCTAGCCAAACAGTCACAGTGACATGGAGGTGAACTATCTAGCCATACAGTCACAGTAACATGGAGGTCAACTATCTAGCCATACAGTAACATGGAGGTCAGCTATCTAGCTATACAGTTAAAGTGACATGGAGGTCAAATATCTAGCCATACAGTCACAGTGACATGTAGGTCAACTATCTAGCCATACAGTCCCATGTTCAGCTATCTTGCCATACAGTCACAGTGACATGGTCAACTATCTAGCCATACAGTCACAGTGACATGTAGGTCAACTATCTAGCCATACAGTCACATGGTCAGCTATCTAGCCATACACTCACAGTGACATGTAGGTCAACTATCTAGCCATACAGTGACATGGTCAACTATCTAGCCATAGAGTCACATGGTCAGCTATATAGCCATACAGTCACAGTGACATGGTCAGCTATCTAGCCATACAGTCACAGTGACATGGTGGTCAGCTATTTCCACGTACCTGTTTCGTGAATCGTCTTGTAAAGAATGGAATGAGATACTTCACGTCCAGTTTCATGAAGCCTTTCAGATGTGGCTTGACATAGTTGATTTCATACTCCTCCTCTGTCAGCTCTGACAGGTGCTCAGAGTCCACCGTGTCGCCCTAGGGAGAGACATGTTATATACAGCTTATATACTGAAGAGACATGTTATAAGCAGGAGAGACAGAAGGTAATATACAGGTTACATACCGAAGAGACACATTTGTTATATATACATGACAGACAAACATGCAGGAGAGACAGACATGTTATATACAGGAGAGACAGACATGTTATATACAGGAGAGACAGAAGGTGATATACAGGTTATATACCAAAGAAACACATTTGTTATATATACATGACAGACAAACATACAGGAGAGAGAGACATGTTATATACAGGAGAGACAGACATGCTATATACAGGAGAGACAGACATGCTATATACAGGAGAGACAGAAGGTAATATACAGGTTATATACCAAAGAAACACATTTGTTATATATACATGACAGACAAACATGCAGGAGAGACAGACATGTTATATACAGGAGAGACAGACATGCTATATACAGGAGAGACAGACATGCTATATACAGGAGAGACAGAAGGTAATATACAGGTTATATACCAAAGAAACACATTTGTTATATATACATGACAGACAAACATACAGGAGAGACAGACATGTTATATACAGGAGAGACAGACATGCTATATACAGGAGAGACAGACATGTTATATACAGGAGAGACAGAAGGTAATATACAGGTTATATACCAAAGAAACACATTTGTTATATATACATGACAGACAAACATACAGGAGAGACAGACATGTTATATACAGGAGACAGACATGTTATAAACAGGAGAGACAGACATGCTATATACAGGAGAGACAGACATGTTATATACAGGAGAGACAGACATGCTATATACAGGAGAGACAGACATGTTATATACCGAAGAGACACATTTGTTATATATACATGACAGACAAACATACAGGCGAGACAGACATGTTATATACAGGAGAGACAGACATGCTATATACAGGAGAGACAGACATGTTATATACAGGAGAGACAGACATGTTATATACAGGAGAGACAGAAGGTAATATACAGGTTATATACCAAAGAAACACATTTGTTATATATACATGACAGACAAACATACAGGAGAGACAGACATGTTATAAACAGGAGAGACAGACATGTTATAAACAGGAGAGACAGACATGCTATATACAGGAGAGACAGACATGTTATATACAGGAGAGACAGACATGTTATATACAGGAGAGACAGAAGGTAATATACAGGTTATATACCAAAGAAACACATTTGTTATATATACATGACAGACAAACATACAGGAGAGACAGACATGTTATATACAGGAGAGACAGACATGTTATATACAGGAGAGACAGACATGTTATATACAGGAGAGACAGAAGGTAATATACAGGTTATATACCAAAGAAACACATTTGTTATATATAGATGACAGACAAACATACAGGAGAGACAGACATGTTATATACAGGAGAGACAGACATGCTATATACAGGAGAGACAGACATGTTATATACCGAAGAGACACATTTGTTATATATACATGACAGACAAACATACAGGCGAGACAGACATGTTATATACAGGAGAGACAGACATGTTATATACAGGAGAGACAGACATGTTATATACCGAAGAGACACATTTGTTATATATACATGACAGACAAACATACAGGCGAGACAGACATGTTATATACAGGCGAGACAGACATGCTATATACAGGAGAGACAGACATGTTATATACCGAAGAGACACATTTGTTATATATACATGACAGACAAACATACAGGCGAGACAGACATGTTATATACAGGCGAGACAGACATGTTATATACAGGAGAGACAGACATGTTATATACAGGAGAGACAGACATGTTATATACAGGAGAGACAGACATGCTATATACAGGAGAGACAGACATGCTATATACAGGAGAGACACATGCTATATACAGGAGAGACTAGGGCTGGGACGATACACAAGGTCACGATACGATACGTATCACGATAGTGGGGTCACGATACGATACGTACGATACGATACATAAAATAATGACACAAGCTGGTGGAAGATGATGAAAGTTTAATGTAAAATAGTTCTCATCAAATAACTCAAATTTTCCTACAGAACAGGTGTCAAACACAGCACATGTCACTCAATAGCAAGACTCAAAACACCTGAGTTAAGGAGCCTGACTGAATACCTGGATTTTCTGCAATAAAAATGCACTCTAAATGTCATCTGAACAGCAGAACTATTTGGTAAAAACAACCACTGGTTTGTGATTTTCTCACAATGATCAACGAAAGGCAAATTGTCTGAAACTCTGAACTTGAATAATCAACATCACACTAATTAGTAAATCACAAAGTCAGACATGTTTAACTGATGTCTGAACATTAACTCTTTCAACACCAGTCAACCAGAAGTGTTTACTGCTGGGACACCGAGTTCTCAGAGACTCTTGTGTGACAGATGAAGCCAACATTTATCAAAGAAAATATCTGCTTGTAAAATATATTTGCCACTACATGTTATACACCATTTGAAAGGTCTGATCCTATGGTTTATAAATTTGAAGTTATGTTTTTCACATTATTTAAAATAATGCATTTAGAACTTAATTAAGTTAGTTGTAAATAAAAAATGTAAGCTAACACGTTGTTAACATCCAGATTAAGGACCAAGGAAGTGAAAACTTGACGATTTTCGGCAAATATAAGATTTCATAAAATCCACTTACCTATTTCTGTTTTATTTTCATTGTTTACGCAAAGACGTATATACGTCCGTGGTTTACGTAATTGGAAAATCTATTAAAAAAAAGAATTATGAATAGTGTAGTGATCGTAGGTTTCCGGAGGTCTTCGGAAAGGTTCGAGTTGGTCGTCCCGTGGCTGACCACGGGAGACCCCGAGATTGAGAGTGTTGTCAGCCATCGTTGTAAGTAAACCAGGTCGAGTACCCAGCTCAATGCAGTATTGAATATTATACTGACTTGACGAACTGACAGCCCTTGTACGTGAGTAGAAAACAAGGTTTGTGAAACCGAGATATCGCTTCACAACAGTGGCGCTGTGAACACATCGAATTTTCTCGGGAAAAGATTTTTTCCGAATTCGTCGACTGCTCGACTTTGCCGCCACGCCGTCGCCATCTTGCTTGTCTTGGTTACAGGGACAAGAGGGATATTTGGCTAAAGTTGAATGAAACTTTAGCATTTTGCGACGTGTGGAAACATTTTTCGCCCGGTTAGTACCGTGCGACTTTGTAGTAGTGATTTCTTTTCACGACCGGTTCTGCATCGGCTGGTAAATTTATAGTTCACCGCACGTGGAAATCTGCGTGCGTTGATCAAGTACGGCCGTTTTCGTGGCTGTGCACGATAAATAATAATTAGGGAACAGTAGCGTATCGGAAGTTCATGTTCTTAAATCAATTATGACCCTTTCACATGCGTAGTTGTGTGTGACAATTGGTGACAGCTCGTAACGGATGTTTGTTGACATTGCCTCGCGAGTGTCACCTATTTTCGTCACGAACGCATAAGTTCGTGAGTTGGTAGGTCATAACAAATAGCGTAGGTGTTAAGTGTAAGGGGAAGTAGGAATAGTATTGTTATTTTCATTAGGATTCAGGATAAATAGTTTTCTAGATTTATTGTTCATTGCTCTGTGTGATTTTCCAAAGTATTCTACACACTGTTGGAAGATGGAGGATACAGGGGTGAGAGTCAATTATGCCACTTGGTCTCAACTATGTGAAATCCAGGGGATTGATATAGGACTGGCGCAGAGGATCATAGACCTGAGAAGTTTGTTGGGCAATCTCATCCTGGATGATGTCCGGAGTTTAGAGGGATTTGATGACAGTGACGAGGTGGTGAGCCAGTTAGACTTTGCCATAAACCCTGACCATGGCAACAGGCGAAGGAACCATACCGAGAGGATGGAGGATCAGCATGTGCAACAGCCGGAGACAAATCAATACGACTGGATGCAGGAGGGTGGAGAGGACCAGGCCCGAGGGGGAATGGCACAGACCCAGACACATCCAAGGGGGTGGGAAGTTATGGAAGACTGTTGGACCATCAGAAAAACATGGCAGAGGCTCAGAAAAACATGGCAGATTTTCAGAAAAACATGGCAGAGGCTCAGGAAAGGAGACTGTCAGAGATGCTGGCAGCCCAGGCTGAAACTAGCCGGGAACAGATGAACGAGATAGCTAAGCTCCAGGCTGAAACTGGCTCGCAGATAGTCAAGGCTTTGGCTAATTTGGCTCCAACACTACATGGCCCGGGCAAGAGTAACTCGGGCCTGCAGCAGGACAGGCCGGCACTTATGAGTCCGTCGCGGGAAATAGTTTCCAGTATCCAAAGGGGATCACGGGTTCACCCAGAACCGAGGTTGGATGACAGCCCACAAAGACAGTACTACCCTTCTTCAAGAGCAGAGGGGAACGAGTATAGTGGGGAGGCGGTTTCTCCCAGGAAAGCACTGCCAGTAAAGAATGAGCCTGTAACGCCGATCCCACCGGTGCCGAGGGAACAGGATTACAGATTGCCGCCACCTGCGCTCTCGACTTACAGCACTGTAGGTGGTGGACAGGGGGCGCGAGTCAAGGACACACAACACAAGCAATTGTTGCAGAGTGTGGATTATCTGACCACGGAGCAGAATCGGAAGCATGCTCGAGGATCACCACAGGGAGGCACTCCCCTGTTTCATTTGGACAGTTCTGGTGAGTATGCGAACTCAAGCCTGTACTACCACAAAGAAACCCCAAACAAGGGAGCCAATTGGGGCCACAGCTCACCCTTTAACTCCCGGAAGAGCATGGATGCATATGGGCTGAATCCATCCACTGGGGATTACCCTTTGCCCAAGCAAGTGAACAGCTACCAGTCAGCAATTGACCATCAAGTCGCACCGGATACCAAGGTGGTCAAGCAGGAACTAACTGAGAGTGACCAGACCACGCGGGACAGAGGACTTAACAGAAGAGGCCCCGATAGAAGAGATTTGGATGGTCGAG